TCACCTCTTGCATCCATACCTCCTCGAATTAACTAGCCACATGCTTCCCTGATCGGTCAGAACGGACTACGTACACCTTGAATGTTTACCTTCTCCGTAGAAATTCATTCATACACAATACTATCGTTCGGGCCGGTCGTTCGATGTATCGAATATCGTTCAGTCCGCCATGAAGTAAACGTGGCGCTCCAGGTGGAAAATAATCGCGGTCGGGTAGCGGGGTGAGCGTACCGCAAGGCGAGTGGAATGTCTGCGCACCTGGCCAGTGCGTCGCTGCTTTGACCTGCCTTTCCCTTCGCCTCTTTAACCTGGCTGCGTCGTGTTTCCGTCGTGGCAACGTGCAAGCAAAGGCAGTCAAACCTAATCCGGAACCATCAACGAATCGTCATAGATTTACCAAGACGTTCCACGAATTTAAACATTTCGTGCCGTTATCGCATGGAGTTTCCGCGTTTTTTAACGTGACTCACTCGATCCTTGTCGTACTCGCTCGGTCAACCGGTGTATGCACGTCTTTGTCGCGCGAACGTGCGCGTGAGTTCACCGTGCGGGAAACGAAGCACGGGAACGAGCAAGAGGGTCTCTAGCCAACAAGCGACGGGTTCGATGCGCAGTCGCCAGGTGAGGCAACGACGTGTGCGCGCAAACGGTTGAGGTTGGCCAGTGTTGCACGGAACCTTGTCACTCGTGACGCGGCGGTTCGTCGACGGAGAAAACCGCGGAAAGGATTTTTAATTGCGACTGTTGGGGGGCCGTTCGCAAAGTTATTGTTACGATACCTGCGCAAACGTGGCGTGTCGGACAACGCGTATCATCAGCTTGCGATCACGGCTCAACGGTCGTCGATCCTTAACCTCAAACGGCGCGATAAATAAGACAACATGTTGCTGACGAAGGATACCGAGAGTCTGTGAACGTGAGCTTTAGTGGAACGTGAAGGTTCTCAGGTGGGCAGGAAGCATAGAAGGATAGCCTGGAGTTAATTTTTCGGCCTCGTCCAGGACACGGTTACGTGTCGTACGATCCGTGTCCGTACGGTGAAGTGTGCTACTTTGATAGGGTTCAGGTGTACGTTGACCCAGAAGTGAGTAGTGCTGGAGTACGGAACGGATCGCGAAGGAAACGAAAGGTAAACCCTGGCACGATGCAGACTACGGGCGCTACGAGGGGACCAGCTCACCTGGTTGCCCTTTACGTGGCGACGGCCGGTCTCCAGGGTAATGCTCTTGGTTCCGACGAAGAGGAAATCACGCTGTTGGTTTACGTGCTTATCGACGTGCTACAGAATAAGGTACGTTTCTGGAATAGAATAACAAAATAAATAAAAAAGTGAAAAAAAGAACGAGGAACGTAAAATTATATGAAGTGATTCACGGATTCATGTCACTCGTTTCCTGTATGCGGTTTCCGTGCCTGATGTACCTAAGTAGTTACAGTTCTTTCTGTGATTTTATAATATTCACGCAAAATGATTCACATATGCTACGATATTCCTTGAAAAATATCGTTCCACAAAAAGAATCATTCGAATCGACGAAGCGACTCTCGTTGCATAATGCGTTCCTTCATCTTGTTTCCTTTGACTCGACGATCATTGTCAGCGCTCGATTGTCAATATTTAATTAATCGTTTCACCGAATCTATAATACCGGAAATAATCGATATATCATTCAACTTTCGTGAAAGTTTCCGCACTGCTGTCAATCTCGTTGCAACTTGTACCGCCACCGCGCCGCCGTGTTCTGCATGTCTCTGGCTGCCATTGTTTCTCGAATTATCCGGTGGGGGCGGAGCGTCGCGCCCTCGAAAGGTCGTCCATTACCTCCAGCTTTGCCATCGAGATTATCTGGCGCCATGGACTCCGTTTCTCATTAGTTCTCCCATATTACGATGCCGGGAAACTATGCTTCCTGTTCGAATACGCTTCTTAATCAACTTTAATCTTACTCCTTTTAATTTTTTACTTTTCAACGTTATATAAAACGTTAATTTTTATTATATCCGACGTTTCTGCCGCTTTAATCTAACGTACAAAGGTGTACGAGGAGAAATTAAAAGTATTTGGATCATATAATTCGTGAATGTGATTAAAACAATTACTTTTACTTACTTTTAGAATTACCTGTGGATAATATAGTAAATAAATGGTAAATAATTGAGACGACGATCATTTATCAAAGAATATAGAAAAGGACATTCGATTCGGAATTTTTCATAGATTATATGTAATATTAGTAACATTTTTCTTATTATTAGCAAACTTCTTGTATTCTAATTGAATTTTTTATTTCGTTGATACTTAAAACGCATCCATTTAAGTTATATAATATATACAAATTTCCCTAGATCAATGATCATTGAAACAGGAGTAAATGAAAATATTTTGAAAAGAGAGAAACAAGTGAAGGAAGGTTCTTGCTTATTCGTACATATCGTATACTGAACGTCTAATAAATCATTTTATACATGGATGAACCATCGAGCTCCGATCCGATCTCAACGTAATCGAATTTTCTCGTGGCAAATTCGAGAAATCAGGGAGCATCCGGCGCGGCAACAGGTGCGCCTAGTTTTCTTTATTCTTTGTTGTGAATCGCCTTGCACGAGTGAGCCCGAGTTCCAGCTGGACGGTCGTTTCCTTTTTCCCCTCGAGTCACATACCTGACTATCTCCGATCGAGCTCGATCGAGGACAATGGCCGCCGGTGAGCTCCTCTTGCTTTGCTAGAACTTCGTGTAAATCCGACAATGATATACCTCGTATCTGCGTGTACACATACGCGTGTTGTTACAAATGCTCGATCCATCGATAGATCATTCTACGATCCGAATCGTTCTGTTTTCGGCATTGTTATCCCTAGTGTCATTTACGCGATCAGTGAACAGTTTTTCAGATGTAAATAAAACGCCAGAAATTGATACTGTTGATTGATAATCAACTTCGCGCGTTCAAAAGTATTGTTTAACTGCGACGCTACTGATAACAGATTGAATGTGTTATGAGAAAATGTCTTCTGTTTTGCAAAGTTCAAGGTATATTAATGTACAAAATTAGTTAGCTAAGTTTTATAGATTTTATATAGTTTCCTAACGTCGGTAGATATGGAAAAGATTTGGGTTAATATCTGATATGAGAGAACACGTGTATCCGATTAAAATATTTCTTTACAGCATTGTACATTGAGATCGAAATTATATAGCTTGAAGTAGCATTATATCGAAATAAATCGACTGGTTTTTGGAGAAAGTGTATCGGAAGATT